AAGCTATTGGGGACGTCACGGGGGCTACGCCCGTTTTTATTCATACAGTCTATGCAAAAGGCAAGAAAAGGCAAGAAAATGAACTCAGCTTTCATCACTAGAGTAAGAAAGAGCAAAATATTAACTGCAATTAGAAAGCAAAATTAGGGTAATATAATGGAAAAAGAAATTGCTCCTAATGCCACCAGGGCCATCTAAAACACTACTGACTGACAGCTGGAGAACCCTGACACCTTGATTTCAGCTCTGCCTTCAGCACCATAAATCCTATTACACTCTTCAATTCATTGATGGATGTGAACATTAGCTCCTACACATGCCACTGAGCCTGGAGTGTCCTGTGGGAGAGGGGACAGTGGGTTAAGGTGAACAACCTGCCTTGCCCTTTAACCCTGAGCACTGGTGTCCCTCAAGGTCTTATCACTCTGGCTCTTCTCCTTACACACCAACAGCTTCACATCCCAGCACAGTTCAGTAACCATCCTCGAGTACACTGATGATACAACCATTAGGTAAACATTCAGTTGGTGCCACAACCTCCTACTCAACATTTGATGAACCCAAATCTGTCATACATATCCGATCATCACAGACTCATTTAAATACACTGGAATATTTACTCACACCGCATCACCAGAAATTCCGAGCAGAGATTGTTCAAACAACTTAAGGAAGTCAAAATGAAACACAGAATCATCCTACAGTTTTATCTTCAGTCTCTTCACTTCATCTTTGACTGTTTGGTATGGCAACCTTGATGGGAACTATGCAAATAGGACAGGAGAGCAAATCAATAGGGGGCCCACAGTGCATTTTTGTTGTCCTTGTTCTGATACCATTTTTTCCTTGTTGATACAGATTCCCATACCTGAAAAGTGCAAATCATCCAATACTGAGTACTGATCTGTATTAAAAATAGATATATACTGTGTATACTACTAAGCCTATATGGTTGCTATCACTTTTGTATGGCCTGGCTCAGGTTAAACCTGTCAGAGTAGAGCCAGTCATGACTTTGCCCTCCTGGGAAAAAAGGGCATTTCAGGGCTAATAAATAAAGTGGTATCAAATCGGTGCATTCTCCCTGATACCAGATACTTTTTTCTTTCTTTTACCGCTTTTTTGATATTTGTAATGTAATTTGTTTTTTCTTACTTTTGTTAATTGTTCTCAATAACCTTCTTTTTTGCCTAGAAAGCAATAACAGTGCAGTGATTGGAAAAAGTGATACTGCCATTGTCTCCAGCGCTCTATCACACTTCTACAGTATGACTTATCTGTAATAACTCTGCCAGGGCTGTTTAATACAGCAGAGAGGAAAACACTCAGCCAGAGACATGTGGCCTAATCCTACAGGGTCATTATTGAGCTGTGAAAGGATCGCCACATCCTGACGGTCCTGGGTGCCATTCTGTGCTCCTGAGCTCACTGGATTGGGATGATTACCAGTGAAGTCTGATGTTTTTGTCAGGGGTACGACATTTTGAGGAGTGGAAAAAGCCAATATGTCACTGGCCAATTCAAGAGGTAAATTAGGCTTGAGTTAAGTGATGCCGTAATTACAGTAGACTGTATAATAAAAAATGGCCATCTCTCTGTGATGTCACCCATACTTTTCTGAAGAGCCGTCGCCGTCTTGGCAGTCCAGACTCCACCGGTTCCTGGCTAATCCAAAAATGGGCAAAGTCGTGGAGCGTGGGTGGAGCTGAGGCAGGCTGAATGAAGCCTGGTTACTGAACAGCGACCTGTGACAGCACCAACCTGTCACTCAAAGTGGCCACACCCTTAATCATGTATAACCTAAAGCCTTGATATAATTTAAATGGGTGAATTATATAAAAAAAACTCACCCCCTCGTACAGTTGTCATGAACGCGGAAATTAGCTTTAGAGACCAGAACTGTTTTTGTACCACGCTGTAAACATGTTTATTTCTGCTCTAAAGTTGGCCATTTTAATATGGGGCCTTACGGAGATTGACTCCCTGCTAGAGCCAGCCTCAAGTGGCCATTAGAGGAACTGCAGGTTTCTTTACTTTGTGTCAGCTTAATTTGGCAGCCACAGAGGTTGCCGCAAGGTCCCTTTTTGAACCAGGGTTTGTTATTGCTGTAGCTTTTAACAGCCTTGGTAGGTATGCATAGGTCCACTCAAATGTTAATACGTTAGAGGACTGGCAGTTTTTGTAACTTCTGTGTTGGCTTTATTTGCCAGCCATGAAGGTTGCTACTTGGATGTATTAACAACTTGTACGCACAAGTATTTTGATCCAATGCCACTGTTGGCCAGACTATGTCATTTGTTTGTTTTAAGATGTGTCAATGTGCGTTTGAGATGTGCTTAGGTTCAGGCACAAAAACAACTTTATTAAGGCTAGGTGAACATCAGGGTTTGGGTTCAAATTAATTGTGATTTTAAAATAATTAATTTGTTACAGTTAGGGGACATTCATGGTTGTGGATCCAATTACTACCACTTGGTTGCAAGGTAGATAAAACAAGATCACTAGAGTGCCATAACGAGAGCCGACAGCGTCCCGCTAGCATGGCAGCGAAGAGGGTCTTTGCTGTTATTTGATAACTGCTAATGAATAAAACAATTTGTATGGGGGCAATTACAAATTTACTATTTCTGACCTATTTGCCTGACTGGGCAAGTGAAAAAAACATCAACATTGAACCCTTTCATGGTAAAAAAAAACCCAAAAAAAAACGATGATTGTAAGGATCAGGAAGTGAACAGCGGTTCAATGTTTTGTTGACCGTCCATCCACCTTAAACATGAACATATGTGGTTTTGGGGCTGAAACAACTGATGCTGTTGCTGCTCTCCCATGCACTGATACCTGAAAACAGCTCAACTGAGAGTTTCATGGACATGACTGGTTAAATAAGGATAAATAATTAGCCTTATTTACTCATTCTCTCTTTTTTTATTTCCTGCATGCACACACACACACATGCATAGTGACTCAGTACACCCACGCTCCTCTTCATTTCTCCAGCTAATTCAGCACTCTTGAATCCACCACATCATGAGAATGAGCGTACAGCGCTACCTCTTACCGTCCTGACCTCAGTCTGGCATGAGCCACAAAACTCACAGACACACAGACAGAACTGACTCAGCTAAAGTCAACTTGAGACAACTCAGAATACTGACACATTACTGCTGTAACCAGTTGGTTAATCACTGCTTGGCTGGACAATAAGATGGTCCTCCATATTTGTTAATCCAACAGATATTCTTTGGCTGGAGCACACATCAGATATGTCTGCTGTAGAAATATTTAACAATAGAAACATTTCTTAAAATAAACCAAAAAGCTGCTGTGTTACAGTTGTGCTTCAACCAGGGCCACAGCTAACAATAAGGACATTCAGGTCATGTGAATTTGGGAGTCTAAGCAACCTGGAGTTCTACAAAATACTATAAATGGTGGGTATTCAATTGGGTTATTCCAGTACACTTCATTTATTAAAATTCGGGCTGCACAATTGACATAATAATGAAGTAGCTGTAGCGCTGCAGAGATGCCCTGGTCTACAAGTCTTGGTACAGATCCTAAAAGAAATGACATCATCATGATTTTAATAGTTTTTTCAGTGAAAATTTGTGATGTGAAAAGGATTATTCTAATTATATTATATTCTAATTATATTATATTCTAATTGTGAATCATATCGCATTATCTGTCAAAATAATCACAGTATTACATGTATTATATTATATATTTAATCTGTGGGCGCAGAATGTTTATGCACAAGTTGCCGTATGCTCAAGATCCATATCTTGTGCCTAATATAATATAATATATAATATAAGATACACAAATGTAACCTCTATGGGCTCTGAGAAAAAAAAATCTCTAAAAGTGCCCTCTTGGATGCCCCTGTGGCAGATAATACATCCCCTCTAGGGTGCTAATCCTAACCCTGACTAAGCTGTTCCACCATAAATGATCTCAAAAAATTATATCAATGACTCGATTGTTATCTGATGTCAAGAGACAGTTCAAGCGCAATATGTGAAGATTCAAATCTGTGAGATAAATAATGAACTGTGATACTCAGAGGGCACTCTTTACTTTTGACTGGGTGTGTCTGGCGCTCTACCCATGTCACCAGTGGCTGTATCAAGGACATGGTGGCTGCAGGTGAAGATTTTGAAATTGAGGGTGAACCATCCTGTTTAAAGTCGGAGGTGTGGTAACTTTTTTACTTTTTTTGTGAAATAATGTGTAGCATATCAATACTGAATAAGTTAAAACATCTATATTAGTGTAGGCCAGTGTGCTAGAAGATGTACAAAAAATACACCGTATATACACAGTAGGCCTGCATCTCAGCAATTGGGTCACTTCTGTGAAGAAGAGTAAATTGTTAAGTAAATTGTCTAATAGTGTCAGGGACAAGAAAACACTGAATTTGTTAAATAAGAAGCCTATTAAGCGAGTATAAAAGGTTTTCTTATACAGGAAATAATCAAATCACTCATTTTACACAAACTCCCCATGAATTATTCTCTAGATCCTATGGAAGCCCATGTGACGAAACAAAAAAAAAAGATGCTGTAAATCATTACAATGAGAAACTTTATCAATATTTTGGTTTCTCATTATAATGACTTAAATAATCTTTTTTTCCATGTCACATTCCACCTGATGATGAATGATTCTATTTATTGATTAATCACCTATTTGATTCAGCACTACATGAATGTAGTGATTTATAAAAAAAACCCCACTCATGTTCAGGTCCTGTTCAATCAGATATTACAGTGGTTGCATGAGTATCACCTAACTGTCTGCATGCACAGAACAAAAGGGAGGCAGGGCAGCTGCTGCAGGGACAGACAGTATCTTGTTTTATGAATTACATTGTAAGGACAGCAGGCTGTGTGCTGACAGACAGACAGGGCACCTGTGGCACCAGTAACGCACCCTACTACACTCTATCTACCCATTCATACCCCCCCTACCCAGGCTGGGCTCAGTCCACTTACCATTGATGTTTGGTCTCATCCTCTTCTTTTAATAAACAATCAAAACTAGATGTGATGTCTGCCTCGCGCTTGTTGCACACAGCTGCAGCGTTTTCCCTTCACATGATGAACAAACACACATTCGTTCAAATAAACTTATGATGAACGCGCACGAATCCACGCTACCAATCACCCGACATGCATCTGCCAGCTGAGGGAAAACAGGAGAACTTCATGAGTCCTGTAGCGCTGTGTGGCTGCAGCTCGTCTGTGCGCCTGCTGAGGCTGTCTGCTGCTGCGTTCAAGGGCTGTCGGAAATGTTAACGACTCGCGCATTAATGACTCGACAATACAGTAAATAGCCTACAACTGACGTTTTTATCCAAATATACGACTTGCTGTAATGTGATGCCACATCGTCGTCATGCGCACATTCTTTTTCTTTCCTTGCTGCAGAGCAAACAGGTCTGTGCCAGGGCCGTAGCTATGCATGCATTTTCAATGCACACACAAATATGCTTCAATCCATATATAAGTAAAAAAAAAATTCACATATAAAAATAAGATTTGTAAACATATTTGTGATGCGCACACAAATATTTCTTGTTTTTAAATATGTGCAATAAAAATTCACAAATGTACAAATCGTCAGGTATTTGCAATTTTCATCAAATACATATTTGGAAGTTGTTATATTGATATATGAATTGTCAAACACGCATTTGTCTCAGTGCTTTTAATTTGTAAACCTCCCTGCATTTGTGTGTGGAACTTTGAGACTCTTCTAGCGTGACTCCCATACACAAATGCATTTTTTCTACAAGGGGGTCGTCTGCAGCCAATCAGATGTCTCACTCCTTTACAGCCAGATTTATTTTTATGGAGATGTATTTTTTATTTCTTATGTATTACCTGTTTATATTTGGATTCCTTAGTTTTGCTATACATTGTACTTTACAGTTAGATTGAAAGCACCTCATATTGTTACACTGTTCTACTTTTTCGAGGAAGAAAATACTTGAAGTACAGTATATCTACCAATTGTCTGGAGGTTTTTTGGTTTTATTTGCACTCCAAAGAGTGTATATATTTGTTATTTATTTTTGGTATAGTGCTTAACAAGCATAATTTAATTTTGCCCAGTTGTGGCCTGTTGAGGGGCAATAAATATCAAAGTTCCAAAACATCTATTGTGTTATTTGTATGGATCCACTATATAAACATAATATCTACATACATGGCATTTGATTGGAGGCTAGTCTCACTTTGTCCCACAGCAACATTAAAATAGTTTAGATTTGTGTACATTGTTTCTGTTAATGATGTATTGTATTAAGTTTCCATTTCATTATAATGTTCAGATTTATCATAAATAATTGAACATGCACATGTATTTTAAGTTCCGTTAAAGAGGGGTGGAGGTGGGGTCACATTTGAGCATTTAAAATTTTACTTGAAAGTAACGCAATAGTTACTTTCTGAAGTAACTAGTTACTTTATAATTTGTAACTGAGTAACTAATTTAGTTACTTTTTGGAAGAAGTAACTAGTAACTGTAACTAATTACTTTTTAAAACTAACTTATCCAACACTGGTCATATATATATATACAACTCCCCAAATACATTTGTGAGTCCTTTTTCGTGCATTTATTCATTTCTGTGTGCATTAATCCATTAGAGACTGTTCTGGCTCCATACATAAGCAGTTCAAAACTCCTTGTTAAAAACAAGTAAAATGACTAAAAATTACTTTGTTAAAGTAACAGTAAATTCGTTAGTCCCATCCCTGGTAAAATTACATGCACCCACGCAAGCATTACCCCTCGGGCGGAATTGCAACCCGCACACACACACACACACACACACACACACACACACACACACACACACACACACACACACACACACACAGCAGACACTGCTGTTAAATATTAATGTTAAAATAACAACTTGACATTGCAGCCACATTAACACACACAGTAACACACCTGGCAGAAGCAGAAAATCCACTACTTTATAGGTTGCACACATAAAATCTGAGTTGTAAGTCCAATAGGCATCATCATCAGAGAGGGCCCACACGAAGCTCATCAAAGCCACTCTTCATCACATCACATCAGTCTTCAGTCTTTAGTCACTCCCTCCTTCCTCCTATACTATTCACGGCTACACACACCCTCTTCGAATATGACATACCACGATGGGGTCTAATCCAAAGACTGTATATGTGTGTATCTTTAGTCAGAATGGGGTCTGTCCTGATTGAATAAAAGTTATTTAGTGCAGCTTTTATATTATAATCCATTTCTGCCAATAGATTCTTCTCAATGTTACACACTGGATCTTTAACCAAACCACAATCTTTCCATATCTGTAACCACCTTACCTCAGGTTTGGTTGCCTAAAGCTAACCACATTCAGGACTCAGGAGTACAAAATGTTGTCTTTGGTTAACAGTTTCTAATCTGGATATTGCTATTCATATTGCTATAAAAAACTAAAAATGAGTATCACAGAGCTTCAGAATTTTGACTTGGATTTGAGTTTTAAGAATGATCTAACTGATGGTGGAAGACTAGTCTTACAATAATAAATTAATCCTGAATCCTAATCCTATTTCCCTATAATGATGATAATAATCAGTCTTAATTGTGTACTGTATGAGGGCTGACAGGGCTAAAATGATGTTGTCCTTACTGGGCCATTAGAATCAATGATAGATTGATGTTTTTGAGGAAACTTTATTTGTTTTGCTGCAGAAAGAAACTGATATTGATGTCCGACTCATTTCCCACACTGCAGAGCAACTGAATAACAGTCTTTTAACTGAACAACTATTGCATCAGAGAGGTCAAAGGTGTGTGCAGTGGTGCATTTGTAGCTGTGTTTCCATCCAAATGTATCACAAAATGTCATTTAATTATGAGTAAATCTGCAGAAGAAAATGTGAATGCTTGTTTCCAATTACTACTATTATTATGAGTTGACATTTCTGTTAGTTTAATGTTTTAAAGCTGCAGTAGGTAACTTTCATAAAAATAACTTTTTGTCATATTTGCTGAAACCTTCACTATATCCTAACAGTAGTACATGAGACAGATAATCTGTGAAAAAATGTGGTTCCTCTGGCCCGTTTTAGTGCTCCTAATGGCTTTTGCAAAAATCCACCGGGCCTGAATGAAAACAACCAATCAGAGCTGAGAAAGATACGAAGACGCTTTGGGTTGTTGGCTTGAAGATAGCTGACTGTTGAGTCTCATTCCTAGGGTCCAAGGTTGTCTACCTCACAACCTGGTAAGACTCAACAATTATCATCTTTCTTGGCTCTGATTGGTTGTTTTCGTTCAGGCTTGGTGGATTCTTGCAAAAGCCATTAGGAGCACTAAAAAAAGAAAAAAAAGAAACTCCACGTTACCGGGTCGTCCTGCTGGGATTTCCAACTGCAACCTTTTGATCAAAGGCCAGAACCTCTAACCTTCAGGCTGCTTCCACCCTCTGTGCTGAAATTATTGCGTGATCAATCATGTATGATGTCTTATCAGTATGGAACGGAAGTCTGCAGGCTCTGCATTAAGCCAAGAGGAGCTGGATATGGTATGGTGGTTTTATCAGTGGCAGAAGAATATTTTTGAATTATTTGGAACTATGAACCCTGACTCACCTACTGTTGGTGAGTCTGTAAATGGGAATCAGGTTAGAGCCCCCACAGAGGTGTTTCAGAATACTCAGTTTTTTAGTTTTTCCACGATGGTTTATTACAACTTTGCAGCTCTGGTATTTGGTACTGACATCTTGGAATACGGTGACATTGCTAACAATTCAAAAGGCGCAGCCCATTCTCATTCCAGGTCATCAAACATTGATGTTTTATCACATTTATGTTTAACCGGCTGCCACAAAGCCTTTAGGAAGCCAGGTGACGTAGTACAAAGAGCAACAATGTCCACATAGAGAGGATGGGTTGTAACAGAGTAACAGAAAGAAAGTCAGCATTGGAAACTGTTTGGAAAAGGGCAGGCACTTTCAAAACAATACTCCTCAGTTGATTGGATCAACCATTTATCACCGTCTATCACTGCGAACTTGAACCGTATAATGTAGTACTGTGTACTGTGCAGTACTGAGTACACACTTTAGTAGTGCTATGTACAGTAAGTGTAAATAGTGGATCAGTAGATGAACCTGTCTTCTTTTTACACTCTCTCCTCCTCACCTTTTAGCAACAAGACAGTAACAATCTGAAAGTGTCAGACAACAGGGAGCAAATTGCACTTTTACCAGAGCATCTCTAACACTGCTGAACCAAGTGTAAGAGCTGGGATAGAGCAGGCACACACTCCTTCTTACTGTCTGTCACTTGGACTAACGTGTCATGGGGCATGGCCAGGTTAAACTGCAGTGGTGCTGGGACAAAAAATAGCTGCCGGGCCCCTATCAGCACCTCATTCCTCACACTGTGGGCAACGTGTAGAGTTGTTCTATGCTGGAATACTATATCCCACCGAGCTGTGCTGTGTGGTCATTTCTTTAACACAGTATGCAACATGATCCAGATACAAGCTCTATATTTGTAAAAAATATGCCCAAAATTGAAGATTCTGTGATAATAAATAAGAAGTCACCTCTTAGTTAATCAGAATGAGGTATTGTTTTCTTTCAGAATCTGGATCTTAAAGGTCCAGTGTGTAACATTACAGCTACGGCTCTACAGTCAAAAATGCAATATAATATTCATAGGTATGTTTTCATTAGTGTATAATAGATTTACATAATTTACACTAAGCATGATTTTGATGATGTTCAACCAATATTTGTATTCTTTTCATGTTAATCCACAGATATTTTTTTCAGTTTTGGATCGGTACTGTCAGAGGTGTGGGGGTTAACTAGCTCAGTGTCTGTGGTCTCAGAGTGCTTTCAGCTTTAATTTGATACTGTTTTATAGTATCGCAGCCTCACAATTAGAGCAGCCGACTTGTGCCTTGACTCAGTGGTTGAATCCCTAGGCGGGCCTCTGGATTAATGTGCTTACTAGACTCCCTGCTTCACTTCACATTTTTCTCCTCTAATCCCTCTGTATTTTCATTGTGTTAGTATTGAATATATAATAATCATGCTCTGTTAAAAGAAACCAGGAGACTGAACTGTACTGTAATGTTATTATTATGTTATCGCCTTTCAAATGACAGCTACAAAGCTATTTATATGAGTGCTTTCTGCTCTGCTATCTTTAAG